ATAGGTGGAGATGCTATAGTTGCAACCTTCCGCACTGGCACAGCCCTCCCCCTATCGTACCAGAATGAGGGGGCCGCAATGGAAGCGCAATGGTCATTGGACACCGTCCACTTGCACCCATTCGGGTATCGCGGAATGTGTCGTAAAGGTGCGTTAAAGTTGAACTGTGAAGATAACTGAACTCTGGTGATCCATTCAGCTATTGATACTATTACACTTGACGGACATCGAATTACCTTGGTGGATCCATGATAGCAGCCATGCCGAGAAATACAAGATCTTCAGGCCAACGATCTTCTCCGGCACCGAATTTCGCGTTCATTGGTGCGTTGAAGTGCGCCTGAGCGAAGGCAATCACGCGTCGTCCAGCGTTGCCCAGTGACTCCCATGCCATCTGAAGCATAATGGCTTGGCTTGCGCGAAGCAACGATACTGGCCGAATTGCACTGAGAACTACTTGAAATGCCCTGCACTGAGCTTGCATACCTGGCATTCGTGTCTGAAGTTATCATCGATGTCGACCATATCCTTGTTCACTCTGGCCTTTTTGCATTTGCCAAGAATGACTTCAGGAGCGCCTTTCATCATAACGACATAGCGAGCTTCATTCTGAACACGAGCAGTTTAGCTATATTCAACCGATTGAGGCAGAAAATTGCTATATGACAACATGGTCCTTACTTGAGCTGGTTCTGGGAGATCTTCTACTGGTTGAACATCTGCCAAACATCGACAAACAACAAGTTGCCACCGACGGATCGAATTGAACGGGATTTCATGCACAGACTGAAATGATGCAGTGGTTGGATAAAGTGTGAGGTAAGCCCACCCACTGTCTCCGCAGTTTCCCATTCTGTCACTGTTGCACTGATATCATCATGATAGTCTTGGGCAGCGTTCAGACTTTTAGGTGACGCGCTACGTCATTTCAGCGTTTCAGCTCTAGAACGCATTAATAGATGGTTATCGACCGGCTTTGGCCGCAAGTGTTTTGAGAATAACAACTTTTTGGAAGGGTATAGGAGGTGAGGAGCTGTGTCGAGCCAGTGTTCGAATTTACAGGAAAATGGTGGAGAGTACAATCTGATGATTAAAGTTATAAAAGTCTCGTGGTGCGTCAAAATAGCAACCGTTGCTATTTTGACACCACCGCCAGACTTTTCTAAGACCGAAATAGTTAACGTTCTGTCTGATACCCTCCATTCTCCCGCACTCTCTCGAGCCATTAGCGGCAGGGGCCGATCGATACACGTTTATGGGCGTGTTCCCGTTATAGTAAGAAGCGCTATTGCAATGGTTAGCGCTGTTGACGCCGTACTCGCGCAGCTTATAAAGCCCACCTTATTGCTTGGAATTCTTACTGCTGGCATTTAACTCACATGGTAGGCGGTGACACGAATGCTGCCTCAACACTTGCATTCAACCTCCACGTACTTACAAAGCCACATCGCTCGGTATCCCGGAATATGTCATTCTTGCGACTTTTGATCTTACCGGTGGCTGGATCTGTAACTGCTTTTACTACTTTCCGCTCGGAATCGCATGTCTGAATAGCACTCACGAGTAGGAATAGGCACTTCCTCAGACCGAATACCTTCCTCCGACAGAATTCAGGTAGCGGTGTAGACCTTCAGAGCCTGCGAAAATGGTGGACGTCTGTGTTCGCACATTGACCTGTCGCGTGTGTTCATTGGAATAGGGGTTTTATTGATGCGTGGCAGCCGTGTTTGTCGTTAATCGATTAAAAGGATTACACAGCAGAAAATTACGCGGATTAGATAAACTTCTTCCTTCACTGGTCACTGTAGCATTCGCTTCTAGCAGGTCGGACTCTGGACGCCTGCATTGTCGACACACGACGCGCATTGAGCGACGACGGCATGCTTCGAACTGAGGCTCGGTTGCAGACCGACAATTTCACTGATAATTGTGCAAGTTACACTAAAGTCGCATCGCAGATTGCACCCTGTTGATTCTCACAAGGAAAGGATGGTTGGGTCGAAGTGGCCATTCGAAATGAGACGTATACTGCCCGATGGGCCTTTGGACGCTGATTACAAATCTGCCCTCCATATCTGCTAAACGACTTCCTGGACAAAGTTATGCAGGATTTTTGACCAGGTCACACCCATTTCCAGCATGTATATGAGGTACTTAAAATTGCCCAAATTGCATTGAAATTAGAACTAGAGGTCTGCTTCAGTGCCCTGGAAATCAACACAGCAGTCATATTCGGTGAAAACGTCTTGTACGCATTCTGGGGGGCAGGGTGTGCAGGAACCTGCAACGTCCTTGGCAAGCGTTTTTACGCCGAACGAGTGTGATATTCGTGCTCTGGGGCTCAAATTAGCCCTAGAGACAAGTTTTCAACCAAATTTGAGATTTCGACCTATTTTCGATACAGTGGGGTAACCATAGGCAGCCAATTCCTAAGGCACTCGCCGGTAGGGGCGACGCTGGGCTGGGCACCGGGTTCCGTAAAGTCGCCTTGGCACTATCGCGATTTCAAATCTCTGCTGAGCAGTGCGAGGTTTCCCTCGCCTAAATTTCTGTCCTTGGTTGGGTTACTGACGTTCCTATAACAAACCACGAATCCACTGTTTAGCTTCGCATTTGCCATCTGGAATCAGTTTGGCCTCACAAACACGACGGAACGAATAATGCCGCCGAAACCAACAATCAGGAAGGTCCCACTAGGAGTGTTCCAGAATGGCTCTATCACATCAGAAATAAATTTTTTTGGTAAAATCAGGTCTCCTAGCCTCGCAGAAGTGCTTTCCGGATGTGCAGGACCATTTTTAAGAAATGCAAAATGGCGTGACTGATGGTGGATTCGAACCTTTCACTTCGGCATTACTTGAGCGACGGCAACTACCCCACGTAGGCACCGAGCGCTACTTGACTCTGACAAACTCAACGTCTCATTTGTGTTACCAAGCTCAATTGTGCTCCGTACAACAACCTCCTGCATATCTCTTCTCAGAGAATCGTTTAGCAGATATGGAAAGCAGATTTGAAATCAGCGTCCGAAGACGCATCAGTGAGTATGCATCTTGTCTTAAATGGCCACTTCGACCAACCATCCTTTCCTTTGTCAGAACTTACGGACGCAGCCCATACCTCGGCTTTATAGAGGGGGGTGTTCACGGACTTATAGTCAGCTTCGCGGGTAGGGCCCACAGAGATGAACCGGTTCAAGCAAAGGCCGAGAGAGCTCTTGCACAAGACAGCGCACGGAGCGAGGGAAAAGTCTATGCAACTCTTACATCTCTGCCTAGTCAGCAACTGAGTAGCGAATTTGATCGACGGTGCTTCCACAGCAGGGCATAGCAGAGGTGTGAATAACACAATGCAGGGATATCTTTTCCTATTTCTTCAAGCCTGTACAAGATTGGATGGCTTTATTACTAGGCCTACGTTTCGGCGTCTTCGCCTTCGTCTGAGCCTGAAATGGACAAAAAACAGATGCAACTTGCCCGCTCAAGCGCCTAAACAATCTCAAGACAACTTT